TTATATGGACTTGACATATCATTTTACACGTCACTCATCATATATATATATATCATTTACCTCAGCTTTCATATAGCGTTGCTACAGGGCGTATTTTAATACATACAGCAGTGAATTGACTAATGACTTATTCAAATTTATGATGCATGACAGATAGATTACGTTTATAAAATTAATTAATGATTCGTTCATGAACAGATGATCAGTGTTGGGTGCATTAGGATTTAGGTAGGTTTCTTTCCCTGTCTAAGATTATAATTGAGTGCAACTAATCAGGAGACTTGGTTAATTGTAATTAGTTTCCTTTAACATTGTCAAAGAGATTTGAAATTCTATGACATGTCCATATATATAACCATTAACCAAATACACTGCACAACTCAAGAGAATCAAACATATTTTTGTTTTTGGGTTATTCATGAAAATGGTTTCTGAAAAAAAAAAAAAAAAGGGTTTTCTTATTAGCTGGTATCCACCAGTAGGTTGAGACTTGCATGCATGTCATTTTATTCTTTATGACATGAACATATTCTTACAGAGACTAATGGAACTTGACTTTGAATCTTCTATCAACTTTTTATGTGAGTAGTCTGCTTTTTTAGACCACCGACCCTAAATATATTACATTGTACATTATTTCTAGGATTTTTTGCAGTTTATATTATATAATATTATCATTTAATGTTTATATATTATGCTCTCCCTTGTTACTAAAATTATATTCCAAGCTAACTGCGTAGAAAAATATATCAAATATAATTAGAGACTCTCCCAATATATATTATATTAATTGCTGTTCAAACACTTTGTTTTTTGTCATGTTTACATTAATGTAGGAGGGTAGTGAACCGTACTTTACGGCAATGTAGAATTTCGACATTATTTGTGGTCAAGGCCAGCTTGGCACCATGCAAATTGACATTTTTTTCCCTTGATCTTAAACTGGCCAGTCCACATTCCTTGACGGTTTCAACATTCACACCACATTAGTACAACCTATCTAATCAAGATTTATAGTTTTAAAGTCCACATATAACCCCAACTAATTGGAATATCACAATCGTGGTCCTCCATGTAGTACAAGTTACAAACTGAAATAATTTTTATTTCATTCATCTGTTTATCATAATTAAACTTAAATCCTCTTCTTTTAGTTAAGACAAAAGCCTAGCTCGTTTTAGAGTTCTGAAATTTATCAAATACAACGATCCCTAATACAGCTTCCAACTTTTTCAAAGTTGACATCTACTTATTTATTGTTTTGTGAAAATCCATACTAGTTGATTCACGCTACGTGTCCCAGGCTTTACTATATCCGGTTGAGTGTCACTCTATAAAGGGGTTACTTTAGTCGTAAGTCTACCAATGATCCTTCATTGATAAGTTTCAAATTGTGTTGTTATCAGGTCGCATGTCACTCTATGAGAGGATTACTTCACTTGTAAGTCTATCAAGACTATTTCATTAAAAGTCTCAAGATTATGCTGTAAGTCCTTTCCTAATCCTAATTTCTTATTTTATTAGTCCATATTAAATTAGATTTCTTGTTTTAGATGTTCTCCATATTAAATTAGATTTCTTGTTTTAGATGTTCTCCATATTAGAATAAGATTTGTCTTAATTATTAGGTTTATTGTTTTCCTAACTAATTAAGGTTAATTCTTGTATAAAAAAAATTAAAAAAATAAAAAATTTGTAGCCTTCAAGGGAGAAATTAAGTTTTTGACTATTATGGGTGGAGTAAACGACTTTTTCCCACCCAAATAATGGTTTAATGACATTTTTTTACCCACGGACTTTTAAAATACCACTTTACTACCCAAGTTTAAATTTCATTTCTGATTCTGACATTATTACGACCCCACTCCACCATCATTCTCTTCCCCTATTATCACTCACCAAAACCCCTCAAACCCTACTCTTGTCGACCCTGCCAATCGCCAGCAATCAAATGATTAGGGTTTGCGAAGCCATCCCTCCCAAGTCAAATTCTGATCAATCCCAACCATCAAAATCCAACCTTCCACCACCAAAAGATTCATCGGCCTCCCCTCTTTAAAAACTCCAACAGCTTGGACAGAGTTTGCTCCTTGTTCCCTGTCGGAATATAAATTTGGGTAGTAAAGTGGTATTTTAAAAGCCCATGGGCGGGAAAGTGTCATTAAGCCACTATTTGGGTGGGAAAAAGTCGTTAACTCTCATGGGTGTGTTTGGTTGGCAGTTATGTGAGATTATTCCAATAATATCATTTTATATTACTTACATTACTATATACAAGTAATATAAAATTTCAGTAATCTTCCAAAACTAATAGTAATCATTGTTGGTTATATAGGTAGTAATCTGAACACCACCATTTTCTTAGATATTCTGAGATTACTTGGTAATCTTATCTTTGTTACAGTTTTACCCTTAACTATTAAAACTTTTGGACAAGAATGCCTTTGTTTTGAAAATAATTTATAAGAATATTTATAGACTATTTTATCCTTATACATAAAAATTTTGGACAAGAATGCCCTCATATTGAAAACAATTTACAAGAATGTCAGATTTGGCCACCACCACTCGCACCTGTCGCCGGCCACCACTGCTCGCGCCTGATACCGGCCACCACCGCTCGCGCCTGACACCGGCCACCACCACTGGCCTTATGTGGATATCGCTAGAACGATGCACGACCGGCTGGATCTAGCCAGTCGTGGGTGATCTAACCGTTAATGGCTAACGGTTAGCCAAATTTGACTTATCATGCGCTGTTCCGATAACTGTCGATGGCCGGCAGTGGCTAGAGGTGGAACATTTGGGCCGGGTTAGGCGGGTCAACCCTAACCCGGCCCGTAAAGATGCGGGTTAAACCCGGACCGCCAAGATGGCGGTCCGGGTTGACCCTAACCCGGCAGCAACCCCCGGGCGGCCGAGTTGCACAATGGCAACCCGCAACCTGGCGAGTTGCTGTTTTGTCTCTTTTGCAAAAGACCCGCCAACCCGCTAGGTTCCCCGAAAAAAATAAAATAAAATAATTTATTTTATTTTTCAAATTACCCCTTTACCCTTGAAATATAGCCGTTTTATAGCCGTTGAAGGGGTTTTTTTGATCATTTTTCTTTCCCATTTTTTCCTATAAATTGGCCCTAAACTCTCACATTTTTCTCACAACTCAAATTCTCTCATTCTCTCATATTCTCTAATCTCTAATCTCTCCATTATTCATTTATTCTCTTAATCTCTTTGTTATCAATTTGCTCGTATTTTAATTTTTATTAGTTTTTNATTTGATCAAGTAAAGGAGAAGGTTTTGTGGGTGAGTGGAATATATATTGAAATGATTTTCAAACGTATTTCATTCCTTATTTTCCTGCATTTGTGCATGTATACAAATTAATGATTAAATTGAAATTGTGAATGGTATATTGCAGGTGCATTTCGGTTGCTGGAAAGTTGTATTAATGGTATAATTTTGTTTAATTGCTGGCGGTGTGCTTGGCAAGTGTTGGGTTGAGTTATTGCCAACTATTGGTTTTTGGGTGTGATACTTGTTTAGTTTGAATCTTTGTCTTGTAGAGATAAATTAAAATGTGTTGGTGATTGGTTAGTTTGGGTGATTTTGCAGTAGATTGGGGTTTTGAAATTTTGATTTTTACGTTGCTTGCTGCATGTGTATGTATGTATACGGTGTTCATATGGAATTAAAGGTTGCTGAAAATGATTAATTGAGGTGTGATTGATAACATAGAGAGGAGTTGGTTTCAGCTGACTTGAAGAGTGAGAAGTTTTCAGTAATAAGTAAACAAAAATATATGTAGATTTGTATGTTATGGGGAAGATTGAGGTTGGTTTGTTCATTGTTAAATAATTTAACTTTCCTTTTATCTATATACATATAGGTGAGTATAGCATCATACATTGGTATGTTTGCCCTTTTAAATGGTTGCCGGTTGAATGGAAAATGACTTTTGTTGATTGAAGAGAAATGGCTGCATTCATATTACCTTATAGGTGCTGTTTTGTATATGATTTAGTCATTTGGGTATGGTGCAAATTTTAGGTGGCCGTGGTATCCAAATATTTAAGTTTTTTTGTAAGTACCCATCCCCTCCCCTCCCCGGCTAGAAATTGGTGATGTCCTGCGTGTATATAAGACCTCAATGTAGTGACCAAGGCAAGCGTGCAATTGGCACGCGAAGTGGGCGAAAAAACCAAGGCAAGTGTGTGAACAGGACACACGAGGTGAATCGGTAAGCCAAATGCAAGTGTGTAACATGTACACGAAGTGGGCAAGTGTGCAACACACACACAAAGTGGGCAATTAACTAATGCAAATGTGCAATGTGCACATGAAGTGAGCAAATAATTAATGCAAGTGTGCAGAATGCACACGAAGTGATTGATATTCAGTGGCTCCAGCTGTGTTAGGGGCACTTGCAAAGGTGGTGGATGTTAAAAGTTGTTGAGAGTTGTGGTGATAATTTATCCATTGCGCATTATCATATATTCTCATGATATTATGTCTTGTGTTTTGTGTGAATTAGGTCTTAAAATATTTGCTTGATGAAGTAAAGTATTTTTCCTCTATAAAACCTATTATTATCCACTCATTGGGCTCATTTAGCTCACCCTTTTAAATTTTTTTCCTAGGATTGCCTCCAGGATCAGTGCGGAGCTTCTCTAAACTCTAAGTTGGGCTACACATCGACGATTTCTATGTGTGTATCATTTTTTTTTTTTTTTTTTTTATTACAAGGAACCCTATTTTTGTACATGTAAATATCCGTACTTTGTTTTTGACATCGAGGCTTGATACCACATGTTTCAAATTAAATCAAATACAAAAAAAAAAAAAAAAAAAAAAATGGAAGAACTTAGATATTGTGTTTCCTATTCCGGGTTTTCAATATATGTTTACGTTTTATTATATGTGAAAGCACTTTTATGAGTAAAATTTAGAAAAAAAGGGATTCATATGGGATTTTTTTTTTCAGAAAACAGATATTTTTCACATGACGCGTCTTGGTCATGCAAGTCCCGTGAGTGCGCCTGGAGCCTATGGGATAGGGATGGTCGGGACGGGCCGTGTCAATTTAGCTCGTTGACATAAGTTATCTATTTAATACATAGCTCTATCTATCTCTAACCTTGAATCAGTCTCTTTTATCTCGTAGAATAAGTCTTTAATCACCTCATTCATGGCACCAAGGAAGCAGTCCTAGTCTTATTGGGAAGAAGAAGAAGATATAGAAGAAATTTATGGGGACAACGCATCTCAAGATGATCAGGAAGACGATGAACAGTATAAACCCGCTGAAGACACATCTCAAGATGAGGAAGATGACGAAGAATATAAACCCGCTGAAATAAAGGCATTTCAAAGGATTTGGAGTGAGGACCAAGAGAGAGCTATCTTGAAGGGTGTGATCAGATTCTCAGCTGAAAAAGGGATTGATTATGCTTCCAACATGGTACACGTCTTTGCTTATATGAAAAAATCAATTAAAGGAAATTATACTGAACACCAATTAAAGGCAAAATTACAGAAAAAGAAAAGAAAGTTCAAGGATAATTTGAACAAGGACAAGTCCACTTTTAGTCTGCATGAGAAGAAAAAGTTTAGGTTTTCCAAAAGAATTTGGGGCGCTGGTTCTATTGTTTGTGCTCTTGTTGAAACCTTCAGCTCTCCTATTACACCATATTCGACAATTATGGAAGAAGCGATGGATTTGGTAGGAGATGTAGAGAGAGTTGAGCTTGACAAGAAGTGGATAGCCCTTGATATTTCTCAATTGGAGATTAACATGAAAAAAGCACGACTAGTCCAAGAGAATATTCAAACAACATTTGATTTTTCTTCCTTCACCTGGGGTTGATGGTAGCACTAATATGAAAATTATTGAAGAGATGGATTTTGTGGCAGAAATGCAAAAACCTGAATTTGACAAGAAGTTTAAAGCAATTGATATTTTGCAGTTGGAGCTTAACATGAAGATGGCACAATTAGCCCAAACTAATATAAGAATGATCTTATATGTTTACAAGTCTTATAAGTAAGTTTGTTTGTTTTGTATTTCCAATGATGATTTATTTTTAGAGATTAATGGAGGCTTATTTATCGTTTCTATGGCACTTTTTTATAACTGTTAATTAGTGTTGGGATAGGAATGTGGGCTTAAGGTTTTTATTGTTCATTGATTTGGGTATTAGCAATTTTAAGTTTGGATGTATTTTTCTATGTAGCATTAGGAGCAAGGACTTCTCCATGTTATTGGTTTTGATTTCTGGCACATCCCTGTCATACATATGTAATATTAATTTGAAAAACTACTTACCAAAACAAAAAAATTAAATTTGAAAAATTAGTAATTCGATTTTTTTTTTTTTTTTTTTTTTTTAAGAAATCCATTGGTAATTAAACTATCAAACCTGGACAAATTCATGCACACTTATAATTACTAAATAGCATCATTTAAATGGTTTTTGACAAATGAAAAAGACTTTTAATTAAAGATAATATTATGCTGATATTGGATCCAAAAATTAAATCCGTGATGGCCAGTCATCACAAATTGACTTACAATGTTGAGACCAAGAGAAATTTAGTACGGCCATAATAAAATTAAATATGAATTTTTGGCTTTGAAAAAATGGTTGAGAATACGATTTATATCTAACGAAAAGAAATGAATAAATCAAACAGGTGATATGGCACTTCACGTGGAAAGATTTATTTAACAATATATTTGAGTTGGTATTTGGTAAACCCAATCCATCTTTGATTAATCAGTTTTTATGGTTTTGGCTTCCTTGAAATTGATCAACTCAAAACAAGCTCAAACGTATTACAGACTGTATAATAAAATATTATTGAATATATATGTAGATGAACTGCGATAATAATTTTACTTCGTTGAAGAATTATATTGTAAAAATAGTTACCACCTTTTGGATGGAACGTGAGTAATACGTTGTCGTAGTTGTTTCACGATCCATATGTGAATCAGGAAAAGCACAAGGGAGAGATGGTGGAAAATGAGAATTAAATATTCCATGTGCTTCATCCTTTAATCAGTCTCTTTATCTCCCATTCCAATAATCAATCTAGTTTCTTCATGGAACCCACTCACATTCTCACAACCACAACCAAAAAATCATGGAGTCAAGACCAAAAGATCTCAATCTTAAACGCAGTGATCCAATTCTCCACAAAAGGTCTGAATCCTTCGGCTTACCTGACTGACTTCGATGCATTCATAAAACAAACACAAACAGTGATTGATTTTACTCAAAATGAGTTGATGAAGAAACTACTCCAAATGAGGAACAATTACAGAGAGAGCTTGATTAAGGCGCCGGCGGAGATTGTTTCAATGTGCGATCCCCATGAGAACAAAATATTGAGTTTGTCCAAACAAATATGGGGAGGATTTCCAAGTCCTGATGCAACGAGTGAAATGTGCTCGAAGGAAATGGCGAAATTTCATGAACAGAGAAGGTGATTAAGGAACGACTGAAAATTATGAAGAAGAGGAATAGAGGAACGTATGTAATGAAGTTGAGGGAGATTGAAAAATTGGAGATGAAACTGAACTTGAAGAGAGCGGAGACTGTAAAGAACCAAATAAAGTTTTTCTTGGATGCTTACGATGAAATATCAGAGTATAAGCTCGTGATTTTATTTTTTTCATTAAGGATTTGAATTAAAGTACATTTTTAAGAGATGTTGAATTGTGTTTTGTTGATTGCTTTTGTTATTATAAACATCTATTGCTTTTTACGTTTTGTATGACTATCACCGCCAGCCCGTATTCAAAATAGGCCGGGGCTTTCATCAGCAATATCCATCATAATTTAGTGTGCTACACAACTCTTCAGCTTCCCAATGATAATAATGATATAGCTCCATTAATCACCTGCTATTGCATGTGGGTGTTATTGTGAAAGACTCAAATAATAATTGCGAAAAAGCTTCTGATTTGAAAAGGAGTACATNTAATCCAATAAATCCCTTCACATGAAACTTAAATTTTAATATGAGAATTCAAACTTTAAACTTTTAGCTTTGACACATGTTAAGTTAATCGGTGAAATGACAACTTCACAGTTATCTTCTAAAACCATCTCTGGGTGATCGAGTGATCGAATAGAAACTCTCAGGTGTATTACTCAAGAGGTCTTGAATTCGATTCCCCTTGGTTATTGTCAGAGTTTGAGTTGGAAGGAAGGTAGAAGAGGCAGAACACTGCCGAAGAATGCCAATGGATGGAAGCTTGACAAAGTGACTGAAACAGTGTTGAAGAATGTCAAGAAAATAGATAATAAAATACAGTAATTTTATGGATATTTCTTATATTGTAATGAGTACATCAGCCAATTTATATAGTGGCTTTGAATACAATAAAGGTAATGAAATAATACATAAAGGAAATGTAATAAGGTCTTAATTACAAAATATTACAATAATCAATCAAATAATTGTAAATCAATAATTGCTTGATTACAGCATAAATATCTTCAGCATTCCATATTTCATCACTCCCCCTCAAGTTGGTGGTTTGTAGATGTTGAAAACCCTAAGCTTATGTAGTAAATAAGAATGTTGACGACTACATAAAGGCTTCGTGAAAATGTCTGTTGGTTGTTCCGATGTTCATATGTGCATGGTCTTGATAATCCTTTCTTGAATTTTCTCCCTGACGAAATAACAGTCAATTTCTATATGTTTGGTTTTTTCATGGAAAACTGGATTTGCTTCGATATCATTAGCAGCTTTGTTATCGCAGTATAAAGTGACTGGTTTTCCTATTTTCACTCCTAAATCTTTGAATAATCCAAGAATCCAGACAATCTCACAAGTTGTTTTTGCCATCGCTCTATATTCTGCTACAGTTGAGGAAAGTGATATTGTTGATTGCCTTTTCGTTTTCCATGATATAAGGGATCCTCTAATTTTAATGCAAAATCATGTAAGAGATTTTCTAGTAATAGGATAGGTACCCCAATTTGAATCGCAATATGCTGTGATGTCGAAATTCCTATCTCGAGGTAAAAGGAGTCCTAATCTAGGACATTCTTTTAAATACTTAAGTACCTTGATTGTTGCATCCATATGAGATTGTTTTGGTCCATGCATGATCTGACTTAGTATATGGATTGCATAACTTATGTCAGGCCTTGTCATGGTGAGATAGATTAGTCTTCCTATGAGTCTCTAATAAGGAGATGGGTCTTGTAACAGAGGATCATTTTCTGAAGAGGCTATCTCATGGTCATATTGTTGTCATGTGAGTTTGATGTTTTGTTCCACGGGAATGATGCTAGGTTTGCATGCTTATAAACCATAATTGGACACAAGTTCTAAAACATATTTCCTTTGACTTAGAGAAATACCTGCTTGGGAATGTGCAATCTCAATGCCCAAGAAATAATTTGGTTCCCCTAGATCTTTTATACGAAAATGTTTATTGAGATGCTCTTGCAGGGTACGAATGTCATCCTCATTGTTCCCAGTGATTAGAATATCATCAACATAAATTATAAGAGCAATGAAGGTGGTACCTTTGTGCCATGTGAAAAGAGAGTAGTCATGCTTGGATTGAGTGAATCCCATGATTATTAGAGCCTTTGTGAATTTTGTGTTCCATTGACAGGATGCTTGCTTCAAACCATATAAGGACTTGCGTAGACGACAAACCATATTCTCCCCCTGTCTACGAAGTCCAAGAGGAAGATCCATGTAAATTTCTTCATAAAGATCTCTGTGAAGAAAGGCATTATGGACGTCCATTTGATGAAGGGGTCAGTCACGTATGGTAGCAATGGACAAGAAAGCCCAAACAGTGACATGCTTGGCTACTGGGGAAAAGGTGTCTTGGTAATCAAAACCTTTTCTCTAGGTGAAACCTTTAGCAATGAGACGAGCCTTGTAGCGCTCAATGGATCCATCGGCACGGTGCTTGATCTTGTAAACCCATTTGCAACCAATGGGTTTCTTGTGAGAAGGATGTGGAACAAGATCCTAGGTATGATTCTGAGAGAGAGCACTGAGTTCATCGGCCATGGCTTGACGCTAATGTATATGGGGAACAACGTCAGAGTAATAAGAAGGCTTTTGTTCTGTGGAAATCTGATTGATACAAATCTTATGGGTAGGAGACAGTCGATCATAAGTAACATAGTTGGAAGTAGGGTAAGTAGTACCTGTGGTTGTGTGTATGGTAGGGCAAACAGGTGGACGAGTGACCCTTGTGGAACGTCTCTAAGGAGGAACAAGAACAATAGGAGTATTATCCTGTGGACGCAAATTGGGAAGCTGGTTCTCTGGAGATGGATTAGGACATGTGGAAACTGGTTCTGAGGTCAACATGGAGGGTCCCATATCATGAATGGGATGCATGGTATAATAGGGTCCTGATAGATCAGTTGCTGAAGGATCTTCCAAAAAAGGTGGAGACTACAGAGATTCATTATAAGGGGACTTGTCTAAAAAAGGAAATGAATCTTCATGAAAAACCACATCCTTAGAAACCAGGAATTTTCCTGAGGTGATATCATATGATCGATAACCTTTTTGATGCATTGGGTAACCCATAAAAGCACATGAAGTAGCCCGAGGAGAAAATTTATCATGCCCTTTTAAATTTGTAGAGTAGCATAAACACCCAAATACTCAGAGATGATCAACTATAGGTGGTTTACCAAAAAGAAGTTCATAGGATGTCTTGCCATCTAGAACTCGACTCGGCATCCTATTGATCAGGTAGGTGGCCATGACCACACATTCACCCCAAAGGGTGGTAGGAATGTTGGCTTGGTGTTTTAGGGCACGGGCAATCTCTAGAAGATGTCGATGTTTTCGTTCAACTATGTCATTCTGTTGAGGGGTATAGACACAAGAGCTTTCATGGATAATACCAAGAGAGGAAAAAATAACCGAACATTGAGTGTTGAAAAAATCCCTAGCATTATTAGTTCGAATCCGTTGAATCGAAAAATCAAATTGGGTTTTGACCATGGACAAAAAATGTCTAATGTGAGTGAGTGTCTGTGTTTTAGATTGCATAAGGTAGATCCAGGTTCCCCGAGAGTAATCATCAACGATAGTGAGAAAATATCTAGAGCCATCGTGATTGGCTGTGTGATATGGACCCCATATGTCCATATGAACTAAGGAAAATTTACGAGTGGTGGAAGGCGTGTGTTTGGGAAATTTTGTACGGGATTGTTTTGCAAGAGGACAAATAGGACAATTGGGTTGAGGAATAGATGCCCTATGACCCAGACATTGATGCAAAATAAAAGAAGTTTTATTAATATTTGTATTAAAAATAGAACTTTTATTTCAGTAATACAATACATTGAGTTTTTAGCATCAAATGAACCTATCCAATAATAAAGACCTTGGTGAACTTTACCCAAGCCCATCAGATTCCCAGTCAAACGATCCTGAAACTCACATTTGTTAGGAAAGAATTTTACTACACAGACATTATCTTGACATAGTTTAGAAACAGAGATGAGATTGAAACGGAAAGCAGGAACAAACAAGACATTATAAATGATTAAATGTTTATTTAGATTAACAGTTCCTAATTGGGTGGCTGGTGCATGTGTACCATTTGGCATGCGAACTGATGTGTAGGGTATAAGGGATGTGTGGGAAAAATGTTTGGGTTCGAAAACAATGTGGTCACTGGCCCCTAAATCAATTATCCAAAAATTTTCTTTTGTAATATTGGAACAAAAAGATGTACCTGCGTAGGATGTTGTATTGGCCTGTAGACTTTGATTTAGCATCTGCATGATCTGATGATACTGTTCTTGGCTTAACATAGGGGCCGCAGCATGATTCCCAAAAGTGATAGGGTGACTTACTTGATTAGCAATGGCAGATCCAGACCGTTGGTTTTGGTGGCAACCATGTAATTTCCAATAGGTGTCCCTCGTGTGGTTTCTCCGTTTGCAAAAATCACAGTAACGATTTTTGTTGGACTTGAATGGCCCATGAGAGGAATTAAAATTGGTGGAGTGAGTTGGGCCATTTCCCGAATTTGAGCCAACTGCAAAGCTTAAGCCATTTCTGGAATTTGGACTAGCAACCAAATTCGAGCCCAAATAACCCATTTGATTTTGAGCCACTAGATGAGGAGATGAGATTTGGGCTGTTCACACCTCCATATAAAAGAATGCTTTCCCTTTCAGATTGCCCTAGTCTCCCTTTTTCATTTCCATGTTTCATCTCCGGTGGTCCAGTTTGCCGCCGTTATGGGTTGATTGCGAAAGCAGCAGCCTCGGTATTGGGTTGGGATTCACACGAAGCTGATCTCTGGTTTTCATCTTGCACGGTCAATTGGTAGGTGCGCCAGAGAGATGGCGCCGGTGATGTAGCCAACATCTATGTCCGAAAAGCCAAAAAACTGTCATTTAAACCAATCAAAAAATGGATAAACCTGTTTAGATCCTTAAGGTGTTTGATTTGGTGAAGAATCGTGGAGGGCCCTTCAAGCGGTTCTTCAACAACGTCAAGTTCGTTCCAAATCGCCGAAAGGCGATTGAAATAAATGGTGACTGGCAGGTTGTGTTGCTTGATTTCAAGAAGATTTTTACGCAAAGTAAAAATCTTTGCGAGATCGAGTTGGCCATACATCTCTCTGATGTTTGTCCACATATCATGTGCATTCTTCGTCTGAGGCAAGCCAACAACAATCTCCTGGGTCTGGGAGTTGTTGACCCAGGCACGAACGTGAGTATTGCATCGAATCCAATGCTGGGAAAGGTGTGGTTCAGTGGGTTGGGGAAGGGTTCCATCAATGAACCCTTCCTTATTTTTGGTTACTAGAACTCGTCGGAAGTCTTTGGCCCAAGTGGCGTAATTTTGAGATCCGGCCAATGGCTGTTTTACGAGCGCAAGCTTAGAGCCATCGAAAACCGGAGAAAAAAGGGCATCCCCTGGTTCTGGTCGACCGATGGAGGTTAGAAGAAATTGGAAGATCGGGTAGGGATTTTGACCCATCAAGTTAGGGTTTTGACCCATAAACCCGAATGGAAATGGGCCGGGTTGAAAGTTGAATTCGGGTTGTTGGTTGGGCTCTGGTTGATGGTTTGGACCAGTGTGGATGTTTGGGCCTGTTGGAGGAGTGGCATTAGTTTGGTTGTGTGGACCTTCATTTGTGGCTGTGGACTTTGAGTCCGGTTCTATGGGTGTTTTGGTTGGGTCCATTTGGTGATGTTTTGAAAAAAAAAAAAAAAAAAAATCTAATCCTACTACCTTGTTTTGCAGGTTCAGAGAAACAATGGCTTAGACAGGATTCTAGCAAAAGCAAAGATTTGCTCTAATACCATGTTAGAGTTTGAGCTGGAAAGAAGGCGAAAAAGGCAGTACATTGCCAAAGAATGCCAATGGATGAAAGCTTGACAAAGTAACTGAAACAGTGTCGAAGAATGTCAAGAAAAGAGATGGTAAAAGACTGTAATTTTATGTATATTTCTTATATTGTAATGAGTACATCAGCCAATTTATATAATGGCTTTAAATACAATAAAGGTAATGAAATAATACAGTAAAGGAAATGTAATAAGGTCTTGATTACAAAATATTACAACAATCAATCAAATAATTGTAAATCAATAATTGCTTGATTCCAGCATAAATATCTTCAGCATTTCATATTTCATCAGTTACTAATAGAGATGATCACTGGAGGGTTTACCTAATCATTAACTTCAGAGCTCTAGAGGATTAGTTGAGATGTCTACAAGCTGACCCGAACACCCTTAGTCACAAAAAAAAAAAAAAAGGTAATTAATAAAATAAGAATATTTAACTTGAGAGAAATGAAAGAGAAAATGAGAAAAAAATATCACAAAGAATTTGAACGAATCATATTTAATAAATGAGATAGATAGTATTTGTTATGTATAGTAAATGGTCTTATCATTTTCCAAGTTTACAGCAAAATACATTAATATAGTTGAAAATGATACAAAGTAAAATTGATTTTAACTATAGAATTTCGTACAGTTGTAGGTGTTTAAGTAAAACTACTTCCAAAATAATAAATGAACAAATCGAAGGTTATTTTTAATTTACTTTTCAAGTCAAGAATTTGTCGTTTACATTATACTTTATATTATCCCATAAATCATCAAATACCAAGTTTCTTATTTAAAATTAACTTTATAAAAATAAAGAAAGCAACAAAATATAGATGGAGCCCAAAATTTTCCGACAAAACCCAAACTCAGTCATGCCATGACATTTTGTCTTTGGGTTTGAGAAAGTGGCTATGCTTTCGCCACGTGTTTTATGTTATAAAGTTCCAAGTTTGTGTGCTATCCAGTAAGTTTAGGAAGATTTATCACCATTAACATAAAATAAATGTTATTTAAGGCCTAATTAATAAAATATCTCTTTGCTTTTTAATTCTATGCGTGATGTCCAAGGAACCCTTCTCATTATTATTCATCTTGTTTATTTAATATCTTTTGCTTCAAAAAGAGCTTTCGGTAAATCAATTCAATCACTTTTGAGATTAGAAGGAGAATGTTTTATTTTATAATTTGTTTATAAAATTCGTATATAATTTGAATACAATAAGAATTTTTTTTATTTTTTTTTATTTTAATCAAATCGCCAAAAAGATGGTGAAATTAGCAACTAATAAAATGTCCTAAATAGATTAAAAAAACTACTCTCGAATTAATTTGATTTATAAATAGAACACTAACTAATAATTAATTGTTCAAAATTACAAAATCGTCAATAAGACGTTTGAGTTAACCTTTCTAGTTGCCAAAATCTGCTAACTCACTCAATTACACTCCTTAGTTTGATAAATAATATCCAATTATCAAACAAAATTTACTAATTTTGGAATTCTACTTCAACCTTTGTTCCTCAAACGCCAAAATCACACTATGCCACGTCACGAATTCTTGGCTGCTTAGTCACAGAACAGACAGAACTTGTAACACGGAAAATTACCAAAATCTCCCTAATATTTTTCATCAGTTACTATCCATCCCACAAGTGACAAACACAGTATTAAGACACGTGTTTTATAGCACGTCTTCCACTAAAAATTCGTCAACGTTAAACTCGCTAAACTCATCCTCCCCAAAGTATTTCTCCGACGACACAAAATCAGGCAGACTTAACGGCGCGTCAATCTCGAAACCGAAATCGAAACCGAAAACGTCAGCGTCAACGTCAACGTCAATGTCACCGCAACCCAACCCGTTATCGAACGGAGTTAACTGGTCGTAACATAAAACAGAAGTGGGCGAAGGAGCAGAACTACTGTTAAGTGATTGATCTTCGACTTCAACTTTATGCTTTTGACCGACAACAATGGATTCCGTTGAAACGGAGTTAGGAAAGTTTATAACGGCGTCAGCACCCTTTAGCTTCAGTGCTGCTTTATCATAAGCAGTAGCAGCTTCTTCAGGCGTATTATAAGTACCAAGCCAGACCCGTTTTCTTCTGGTCGGGTCTCGGATCTCGGAGGCCCAACGGCCCCAAGGTCGCTGGCGGACTCCTCTATACTTTTTGCAGGCAGTGACGTCACCTACCGTTGACTTGAGCTTTGTGGGTTTCTTCTTTCTGGAGGGTTGATTTGTAGAGGGAGGTGGGGATTGTGAAGGAGGAGAGAGTTGAAGGTTGATTTCTTTGACGATTCTTTTGACTTGTCGTGCAGAGTTGTTGCTGTTGTGATGGTGATAGGACTCTTCATCGCTGGAAGAATCAGTGGCGTCGGCGTCTGTGAGGATGATTCTAACGAGCCTTTGAGGAGGATGGATCATGGTGGGTTGTACTAAAGTTTTAGAAATCATTTGGAGGTATCAGTAACTGGAGTGGAAAGGCTAGGAGATGAACATGATGATTGGTATAGTGGAAGGTTTTGAGAGTATGGCAATGGAAAGAGAGAGAGAGAGAGAGAGTGAGAAGTGAGTAAAATTAAGAAAGCGAATTGTGCTTTAAGATAAGGTGGCAATTTATAGAGGAAAAAAGGGAATATTAATTAATTATTAAATATTAAATTTTTACATGCAGGTGGGTTAAGTTAAAAGAGTGCTTCTGGCGGGAAAGACAGGGAATTACAGTGAGGGAAGAATTTATGATCTGCCTGTTTTCAAGACGTTGTAATTATTATTATTATTAATAATTTTTTAGGAAAATAGAGAATCTCAATTTATTAGCGTGAGTTAGATATTAGAATTACGTTGTGGGAAATGGGTGAAAGAGTGATTGCGTAAGCAATAGGGTGGGGTGGGCCATTGTCGGAGGGGAGACGGTAACAATGAATTCAGCTGCCTATTTTGAGTTTGACGTGTCAAAAGATCAATATCCCCTTTCCAAATAGTCTTCTCTTCTCCCACCATATAGATATGAACCATACTATACTTACTCACCATCTTACTAACCATTTTACTATCCTTTGTAAATATAACGTATAGTATTGGTACTATACGCATAGTACGGGTACCATGTAAAATTTTAACAAAGGTTATATGACAGTTAGTACAAGTGGTGAGTAAGCATAGTATTTTTCTATAAATATACTGCCTTCACATTTCACCATGCACCATCACATCCTGCTCTTTTTCATCACCTCGCATGCATGCTGATGGGTAAATGAAAAGGCGCTATAAATTGTACTTAAATTACAAGGGAAAGACCGTAATTCTGATATAATTAAAGGAAATTAATTGTAGATGTTGAAAAACGTGGTGGAATTTACAAAAGCATGCAGTGTCTTTGGGACACTATTGTCCACGTGACTTGGGAATTGGGAACGTCGTATATGTGTGAAGTCGGGTGTATGTTTGACTCCACAGCCCTCTTTCTACTTCAAAATTGTTGCTTATTTTAACAATTCAAATCAAATCAAATATCTTCTTAAATTAACAAATCTCTCTCAGATACCGTCATTAATTAACATACGTATATATGTTAAAGGGAATTTTCGTTACAAGTTTAACTTCAAAATTGGAGTCTTCGTCAAACTTTGCAATCCTTCAAAAATAAAAAATGATGATTTTTGGCCATGACCATCCGTCTAAATCCTCATTGTTACTGGGTATTTAAAAGCGTAATAGAACTCAACTTACAAGATGATTTTAGTTTGAGAACAATAAAGGAAAGGATACATATATAAATAAAACAAGTGTAGTGTAATTGTTTATGCCTTGAAATAGAAGCAAAGGCAATGGACCAGAAGGAGGCGGCATGTGAAGAAGCAATCATGCAATTAAGAGTTGGAAAGCGATAGCCCCTCATTCTCATTGCTTCTCAAATAAGCGATAATTCATTCTACTTTATATATCTTCTTGATAGTATCATATTCATAATATTTTGAAGTAACTGCTTACCTTTCATATTGTACTTCCATGCATGCATATATATTTGAGTAACACTACACTCACTAATTTTTTCTCACAAACGTCACGTGTCAACTCACAATTTGTTAGTTCATATGGGTCTCGCTTGTCCAATAATAGGTCCTGCTTGACCAAGCCAATCACAAACTCCCAAATTGGGTTAGTGAGAGTTTGTTAGGTTAGTATTATTGTATATGTTTTATCTTTTTAATAATCAACACAATCCCCATTAATATATTGCTTCTGCTTCTTACAACACAATCCCCATTATCGTGGGCCAGGTCGGGCTCGGCTCGGGGTCAATTTGGAAGGGCAAGCCCGAGGCTAAGGAAAAAGCTAGAGTTGTTAATACCTGGCTGGATTCACCCGGGCTGTAAGCCCGAGTTTGGTTAAACTGGTCAGAGGTATTTATTATTTTACTATACATATGAGGGCATACATATGATATGGGGGGGCTGCGTGTCAATTTATATAGGAGTTTCTTTGTAACTTTGCAAATGACAATTAATTTAAAAAAATAAAAATTGTTTAAATTTTTTAAAAAGATAGTTAATTATTTTAAAATATAAAAACTATGTGTGAAAGAATTGAGAATAACTGTATCAAATTGACTCAATTCAATTTAATTGACTCGATTCAATTGATAATTTGATATATTTTTTAGAATACAAAACTAAATAATTTAATTAAATAAATTCACTTGCATTATCAATTATGAATGGAATAAAACTTCATTCTCCAATCACCTTATTTCTAAGGGAAATGATTTTTAGCCTCCACTATTTTTTTCTTTAGCCCCAACTTTTACTTTAGGTGAGGGTATAACTGTAATAAAATGTTTTATTCTTCTTCATTCACACTTTAATTCCAAAGTTTTATATATATAGTTACCAAAAAAATAAATGAAATTTAGGTCAATAAGAAATCATAATTTCACTAGTAAATTGAAGCTCATAATAATTATCAAATTTACTTAACATTTCTTCTTTATATCATGAATTAATTTTTAGATCTCATATCCTTCTAAACCTAAAACAAACACAACTCCATTTGATCTCTACATTTGAGAAAACTATTGATGTTTACATTGTTTAAATTAAAAAAAAAGAAAAAAAATTACTAGAACTTGAATCAATCAAGGCGTTTATGTTAGTTTTTGAAGTGTTCTTGGAATTGTCAACTTTAGAAATAGAACACATTTATAAATTCTCCCTAATTTTTTTTAGTTAATATGGAGGACTCAATAAAATCATCTTGGGAACAAATATTTGAGAATCAAATACCAAAGACCTTTGTAAAATTTATTTGTAAGCGTAGTATTACTCAAAACAAAAACGCTACATTATGCAGAGCATGTTTAATATCATAACAGTGTTCACTCATCAAGATAATTTACTCCTTCCAGTAAAGTATACATTTGAAGATATTTCCATTTCAGTATCCAGTTAACTAAAATTTTGTAAATAACTTGAATTAAATACTTCTGATTTCAAAATTTAACTTAGAACTTATCACTATTGTAGACACTAATGACATTATTTATAATATCAAGAGTTCTGCAGTATATATCAGATAAGTATAAACGTATAAAACTTAACTCAAATAAAGAGCTTCAAGAAGATAATAGGTGTACTGTTATAATTAACTGCATATAGATCAAGAAGCTACATTGCTTGTAAGACAATTTAAGCTTTACTGAATGCAATAACAAATTACAATTGCAATTCACTTGCGTAAACAAGAAAGTTGGGTCAAATTATAAGGCTAAACAAAAGTGTTAACCTAATAGCTTAATTAATTCTCAAAATAACCACCACAAAAAACATAAATTATACCTAGTGACCGGATGATTTCATGGCCTCCAAAACCAACTCAGTCTGCTCCTTAATCAGATCAGTCCGCTCCACGAACAACTGCAACCGAGCAATCTGCAACTTCTTCCACCTTTCCTCCAATTCCGCTTTTTTGGCTCCTCCAATCATATCTAAACCCTGGTTGATTACAAACTCCTCCAAACCAGCCATTCCAACACTCTTATCAAACAAAAGCAGGCTCCCTTTCTTATCATTATCAATATCCATCTTCTTCCCTTTAGCTCCATCATTCAACTCAGCTATGCAAAAAGCTAAGGACTCACTACTCCCTTTCTGGTTTCGATTCTTTTTTGCTTTGCTGTTAGACTTTGCCACAGATTTAAGGACACCACTAGTACTTCCATTGCCCCATAGCTTTTTAGACAAATCATAAGCTTCTTGTTCATGGAGTTTCGAAAAAGTCCTATCTTCACCTTTCTTCCCAAGATTGTTCTTATACTAGTGGATAGATTATACCTAGAGTGTCGGAAAGTCATTTAATTGATTTACCTTGCCTTGTAGGTTTAGGGGATCGTAGAGGGTCGAGGAGAATTGTGTGAGTTGGTCTCGTGTCGAACCAAAACCATAGCGGCAACGTTTTTATTATAAAGTGTTCATTTGTTTTAATTTCACGCTTTTATTATTTGCATTTAGTTTGTTTAATTTAATTAATCAAATTGTCAATTTCATTTCCGCTACTCAAATATACATTAGGTTATTAGTCTTGCTCTCTGTGGAGCTCCAAGTATACTCTTCTTGGATGCTCGGTGTGCACCATTTGGACCCTGGTCATACACATTGAGTGCACCCCGAGCAGGAGCAAGAGTGTTAGAAGTTGAATTTGTCCCACATTGCCAATTTAGTAGACTGGATTGTATTTGTCCTACATCGTCAATTTGGTAGACTAAATTGTATTTGTCTTATATCGCTAATTTGGTAGACTCTTATAATGTATATATGTGGTTGAGCTCCCTCTTCCAATTGTTTCTTTCTTTGCTTTTGGATAGAATGTCAATTTTGAATGTCCTTTTCGTCACCTGAGGAAGGAACATGAATTTAAAGAGGTAGACTTAAAAGGAGAACAAATTTTCCTTACAGTTGTTTCATTCTTTGCTTTTTAGATAGAATGTCAATTATTGATACGGTGCTACAGTATAAGCTTGGGCTTTCTTAACATGACTCATTTGACGACTCAGTACATGGATGTCACAAGTCTATTGGCATGGAATCTTTTCTACGTAAGGTGCAAAGTTTGTTTGTTCATACAGGCAACATCAATGTACTTGGAAAACAGTTACATGGACAAAGTGATTTGCTATTACAACTTGTAGGATTGGCTCACTGGTTATGTACGTTGTATATCTTTAAAATGTTATATCAAAATATTTGTGTGTCCGAGTATGCAGAATCTGTTAGCGCATTTGTAGATTAATAGCTTCTAGTTGTGCCAATCGACCCTCGAATTTAATTTTAATTTGATTGTTGGCTTTTCATGAAACCTAGATAAGATGGTTGTTTTTAGTAGACAAATGTGAAATGGTTCGGTTGTACTAGAAAAATTTGTAAAGAGAATTGTATAATATATAACATTTTTTATATAATTTGATGTGATAAAATATGATTGGTTGATTTTAAACTAAGAATAAACTTTCATCTAATCATCTTTTGTCAGTTCAAATTGTATGAGAAATGTTGTATATGTAAGAT